ATAATAAATATAAAGATATTTTTTTTATTAGAAGAATAGTATTATGATATTTTGACAATTCAAGAATGATAATTTTATCAAAAGTAGATCCATACTTAGTTTATATAGCCTTATTATATAGACAATATTTCTTTATTTAGGATCGTTTAATTTCAAAATATATGCTAAAACATGTATTGCAATTGCAACACAATATTTTTTTAGTTAAGTTATAAGGCATACATTTATAGTACTAAACTGAAAGTAAAATCATATGAAGTAGCCAAATGAGCACTTAGATTTCACTATAGAAGAATTTTGAAATAACAATAAGCATAATCTATAAAATTAATATTTAAAAAAATTTATAATTGATAATTAGATTATTTATTATGGAGATTTATTTACAATATTCCAGGATTAACTATCCAAGAGTTTTCGGTTTCAAATTCAGTATAAAACTGATATTTAATCAAATATAACAATTTAAGGTGCAGCTTAGAATAGGATTAATCATTTTTGTCTAATTTAAAATAATTTTGCTATTGAATTGATGCCAAAATAGAAATCCAAACTATAATATTTGTTGTTAAATTACATAATAAATAAGGTGTTAGGTAATCATTTGTTACTTTAGTGGATATCTTCTTTAATTTTTGTTTATTCTGTATTTGATCAAAATACTTTGAGTAATCAACAATCTTTTAGATAAAATTTAAATAAGCAAATCCAAAAAGTTCAAAGTAGGTTTATAAATTATTTGGAAGTTAGGTTTTAAAGTATTAGTTTAATTAATCATCTTTTCTATCATCTAATAAATTACCAAAAACTTCAACCCCTTCTAATAAAATCGAAACTCAAATAAAGTAGATTATAAAAGTATTACTCTTTTGTTACTAATTCCTCTTAAGCTATAATAATATCATCTATGTAGATCATTTTTGGTACTCTGCTTCTATCTAAGAGTAACCTTCGATTGAATAAATGAGTGAGTTATTTAATAACTTGATTAATAATTTTTCGTCTTGTGGCCTCCTAAAAAAAATGATATTGATCATCAAAGTTAATTCAGATTAGTTAAATTCATTTATTAACTAATTTTTATAATCATTCCACACCATTAACAAATTTCCAAGATCATATTGCTCTTCCTGAATTTTTTTTTTCGGATATATTTGAACAATTCCTTTTCATCTTTCTGCATATTACCCTGATTCACAAAGTTAACATTTAAGATTTTTTTTGGAAATTTACAATATTTGGCTTAATCAATGCATTTCATTAAGTTTAATCTGTCAAAGAATTCAGTTGGCATTTAAGTTGAAAAATTTAATGAGATCAAGAATAGTTATCACAATAAAAACAAGCATAATCTCTAAAATCTTAATATTTGATGATCTAAGTTTCACAAATAATCCAAACATGATTTCCAAACTCCACATTCACTTTAAAAATAGTTTTAAGCACACAAAGATCTTTAATGATCACACAAGTTATACAAGATTAATAACATTAAGAACAAATGCGTTCAAAAGTACCCTGAATACAATTAATATAAGAATTCTTATCTAATTGCAAATTTGATCATATTATGGGAAAATTTTTTTTAATGTTTAACTAAATTATAATTTTTAGTTATTTTAGAATAGACAAGAAAATAAAATACATCAGTTACTACTAACTATAAAAGTACAAATTTTATAACCATATCTGTTGTATAGAAATATTCTGACTTATAACCTTAGTTCTATTCTCCATAGTATCCAACTTCAAAAATACCCACGGTTTATTTCAGAGTTAGATCTACAAGTTACAAATTTTTCAGATAATTTCATTACAAGTTAAACAATTTTAATCATATGACATTTCTAATCCATCTTGATAAAAGCCATTAAAAAATTTATAAAAATAAAAAAATTGCCCCAAAGGTAAACATGCTTAAGAAAATTTCATAATTTGTCTCATTATAAACATTTTACAAGACCGTGAAAATATTTTAACAATGTATGCAAAGGTTTGCAAAGCTTTTAAAAGATTTATCATCATATTTCATCTACTCTTGATGTGTTTGTCGCTTTTTTATCTTCTGAGAATATTTTTGCATCTAATCAAATAATATGAAGAAGTTGGTAATATTTTGGAAATTATTAAATTTATTTTCACTTATGAATACCTATATAGATTATATGAAACATTACCTAAAATATAATTTAATTCTTATGTTCATTAATCACTTAGAATTTAATCAAATAGGTTAGAAATTTTCATAACCTTTAATGTAAATCTATTTAATGAAAACCAAACATATGACTATGAATTAAATTATTAAGTAATCAAAATGAGGAGTATATGTTTAAATGTTAGCCAAAATAAATATTAGTTTACTATAATAAGTTTTTTACTGATAAAACTAAGCGATTCATCAAAAAATGAATTGCATTTATAATTTTGAGAAATTATTGGAGATTTTGCAAAAAAAATATAAGTTACCTTTAAATAAAATTTAATAATTCTAAATTTAAAAATAGGAAAAGTTTGTTTTTCTTTAGATTGTTTTTTTAAATAATAATATAATATTAAACATATCTCTTTTAAGCTTATTATCATTATACTGTTCTAAGTTAGCTAACTTTTTAAATTTAAATTTAATTATGATGGTTCAACGATAATACTATTTTATAAAATTTTATGGCTCAAGAGATTTGGTTCAAATTTTGTATTGTTTGAAAATATTTTGAGGATTTAATGAAATTGCTTAATGATATTTAAAATAAAACTTTTCTTGAAATAGGTATAAACTTAATTTGGAGCAAGTAGAATCCCAATATTATAGCAGAATATTGCTTGTTAATATTATTTCTAATCATCTAAAGTTATACCTATAATCTTCATAGAGTATTTACCTCTATTTGTATACCTTATAATCTTTCGGATTAAGTTGGATTGCTTGATTATAGTCATTTAATGCTTTGTATTTCTCACTAATATCTTTATTGATATTGCCTAATTTCTTAAGTGGAATAGTTATAACCTTTGTTAATATAAGTCAAATTTCTTTTAGGATTAATTTCAATTGCTTATTTGAAATCTCTTATCGCTTAATTAGTCATTTTTTCATGCATATAACCTTATAGTATAATTTTTATGTAACCTCTACACATAAATGCAAAATAAAGATTCCCATCTTTTTCTATAGCTTAATGGTAATATTTTAGTTCATTAACCTTTTCTTTCATTTCACTCAAAATAGTGCCTAAAGATTTATGATTATTATAAGACCCATTCTACAATAGCCCATTGAAAAGTCTTTATTAATCTCTACACATTTCTTTCAATCTTATAATGATTGATCAAATAATTATTTTCTCCAATAAATTGTTGCTTAAGTTATAAGATTTAATAAATACATCTTTAATAATAACTTTCAGCATTATTATTTTATGGATATGCTTAATTTACATCTTCCAATATCTCATTATATAATTTCATTTTTTTCGTATAATTAACTTAAATTGATATATAAAACATTGAACCTCTTAAAGTATAGGTTTAGGAAAATTTAGGATGAAGATTCAAAGCATTATTTATTCCTAATAATGCTTATTCAGTACTATAAGTAATTTTAAACTCCTAAAAACGATTCCACTAAATAATTGTACCTAGCATATGCCTAAAGCACCAACATTCTTTTTTCTTTTTAACTGTTATTGCTCATTTTTGAGATTTATCCAAATTTTTTTTATAAAATACTTAATAAAATTTAGGGATTCCTCACCTGGCTTAATATCAAAGTTCAAATGAAAAAAAATAAATATTTCACATTTATAACATTTGAAAAGCCTAATAGAAATATATTTTGGATTTTTTCATTCAAGTTTTCAAGCATTTGATGTTTTTTTCATATTTTGTTGAATTCTTATTACTAGAGGCAATATCAAATAAATGAATAACTAATATCTAATTAATTAATAGAGGATCACTCAAAAAAGAAAATAAATTTGCGTATATTTAGATGATGAATTACAACTCGGGTTAATGTTCTTTGTTTTATTCAAGAGACATAATTCAGTAGTTTTTGCAATTATTACTAAACATTTGTTGCCGTTGAGTTTTTAATATGGAATTATAATATTTCTGATCTTAATATTTATATAAATATAAATAATTCTTTTAAGATGATTTAATAACTGTAAAGTCCACCAAAAACCAAAACGACATTAAATATAATTTTTATATTAATAAATTAGAAAATATTATTTTAAGAATTAAGCTAAAAAAGAAGACTATATTTGTGTATATTCATTCAGAGGTTTCTTAATTTAAATTAATTAGTATTATAAAATTAGATTAATTGGAATTCTCATTTATTTCTAATTTAAACCTTCTTTCTTATTTTTCTTTAAGATCATATTCATTGAAATCAATGATGCACTGGACCCAACCATACTCCATTTGAAGAAGAAGAGAAAACCTTTTTATATGTTGGAAATATAGTGCCACAATTAATTTAAGTACTTTATTTTCGATAAAAGTTGCATCATTAAAGAGAATAACTCTAAATCATGCATTTAAACTAACTTTTTGTAATTAAGGACTGAAAAATATTTATCACCCATAGTTATTACAGTAAAGGAAAAATGAAAAGCATTATTGAATAATTGATTAATTATAATTTTTTAATCATGAACATACATAGACATAATAATAGATATCATTAATTGAAGGTCTGTTGTTACCATTTTTCAATATCAGCCAAGAAAGATAAATATTGATTTATAAGATAAAATGTATCTTAAAAATCTATAATAATCTGCTATTATCATAAATTAATTTATGTCCTTTTAATTTCTATAATTATATTTTTTAGTCTCTGGAAAATATTTTCTAACATTTTTCTCCTCTGAATGCTTCTATTTGGAAATATTTTTTTTTTTCAACTTAATATTTTAATTTCATTCACTGATATTAAACTACTTTAAATAGCTCTCTCTAAGAAATTTCATAATTTATATTTTTGTTCTATCATTTTATTTGCTCTCATTTAACTCAATTCTTAAGAACCTTGCCTAAAAATTGAAATATAACAATTTCTAATATAATCTATAATGAAACTAATATGATTTCTATCCACTTTGTATTCATCTATTTAGTTTAGATTAAATCATTGCTTATTTCCTCAGGTTTAACTCATTTGAAAGAGAAAACTAATCTAGAACTTATAATTCAAAGTTAGCAAGTTTTCTAGTTGTATATCCAATTTTTAGCAATTACTCTTTCTTTTTTTTTCCCTTTATTCAACTCATTTCTGAATTTACCTATTAGGTTCATAATCTTGTTATTATGAAATTTATGGATTCAATTAAATTCAAATTCTTAAACTTTTTAAATAATTTCGCAATTAACATAAATTAATTAATTGTATTTATCATGTCATTTTTTCCTCAAGATGTAGATATTAGTATAATTGTTATTAAGTATTAAATATTTACAATATTTATTTTAATTCTGATTCATAAACATAATAATTTCAAATTGTGAATTTCTTAAAAACTAATATATTTTAGAATAAATGTTGAAATTAATTGGCTATTTCTCTTAAATTACCTTAAATTTTTCTTTTTTTTTACCTGAATTAACTATTCTATTAGAATCTAAACTATTACTTAAATATTTTTAGTTGACAGTTATAACAAATACAACATTTTTGGTAAATTAATAATCGGCTTTAGCTAAATTTCTTTGATTTTGGACAAAAACATAAAATATTGGAAAATATTAGTTATTCATAAATATATGAAAAGTCATACATAAATTAATAGAGTGTATAATTATTAGAACAATGGTCAAGATATCATAAATATATCTATTATAATTATAAAGAAAATGTGGAGGTAATTTTGATTTGTCCTAAAAAAGTACAAATTAAAGAAGATCTACTCTTGTAAACTTTAAACTCTTTTTTTATGATTTCACTTATCCAAGAGTTAAAATCATGCATTTCACATATTGTAAGGAGTGAATAATATTTTTTTTAGACATATTCCAATCTTTAAATTGTTAAAGAAATTGTTAATTATACTTAAACAGAGATGATGGACAAAAAAAATCAATCACTCATAGAACTCAAATTATGTATAAATACAACATTCATATAAAAATAAAAATATTCTATATTATTCAAGAATCAAGCTTTGCAACTTTTGAAATGATTTTTCAATGGAATATTCTAAATCTATCATCGTTAATTCCAAATAAATACAATATCCGAACTTCTATTTTTCAAAAATACATAAGAAACTTTACTCGATTTTGCAGTATATAACTTAAAATTTGAGTCATAGAAATTCAATATTAAAAATAAAAAATAAAATGCAGGGCTCCTTTTAAGAGAATGAAGCTATAGCTGACATCTTTTATCAAGTAAAAGATGTAGATGAACAAATATTTGGTGTCATATTAGAAATATTTAGAAAGGAGAAAGTTTAAAATTGCATTGGATTTCTTTTAGATAATGGAAATCAAAAATATTTAGAATTATAAATCTTACAATAAGTAGAGAATATTACCCAATCTGATAAATAATAGAAATTGTCTGTTGTTAGAAATGAAATCAAATAAATCACAGATTTCTTAAGAAAATTAAAAGATCATGACTTCAATTACAAAGACTTTTCCTCTGAAGAAAATGAAGAATTTACATTAAGTCTAATTAAAAGCATCAAGGATAATAGAAGGATCATTGAATTTCTGTAATTTTTAGTTCACCTCACATCCATTGATGAAACTTTAATATAAGGTGGGTCCAATTCATTACATTTATTAGTTTAAATTAAGGTGGACCTAAAAAACAAAAATTTTAAAAACATAAAAATCTAAAATACTACTTTAGTGGGAGCTAATTTTGCTAGGTGTAATTTAAGTGATTCGGAATTTACTAATGTTGACATAAGTGGTATGAATTTGAATGGAGCTATATTGCTTAATTGTAAATGGAAGAACTTAAGAATACTTGAGTTAAATAGATTGGATGGTCATACTTCTAATGTAAATTCAGTATGCTTCTCTCCAGATGGTGCTACTTTAGCATCTGGTAGTTGGGATAAGTCTATCCGTTTATGGGATATTAAGACAGGTGAATAAAAAGCCAAACTGTATGGTCATAGAGATGCGGTAAATTCAATATGCTTTTCTCCTGATGGTTTAACATTGGCATCTAGTAGTAGAGATAACTCTATGCACTTATGGGATATTAAGACAAGGAAAAAAAAAGCCAAATTGTATGGTCATAGATATGCAGTTAATTCAGTATGCTTCTCTCCTGATGGTATTATATTAGCATCTGGTAGTAATGATGATTCTATTATTTTATGGGATGTTAAAACAGGGTAATAAAAAACCAAATTGCAGGGTCATGTGGATTAGGTCGACTCAGTATGTTTCTCTCCTGATGGAAATATACTAGCATCTGGTAGCAGAGATTGGTCTATCCGTTTATGGGATGTTAAGACAGGATAATAAAAGGCGAAATTGGATGGTCATGGTTGTTTTGTTGATTCAGTATGCTTCTCTCCAGATGGAACGACACTTGCATCGGGTGGTAGTGATAACACTATCCGTTTATGGGATGTTAAGTAAGGATAAAAAAATGCCTAATTGATTGATTGTGGTGGTGGTAATTCTGTTTGTTCGGTAAGTTTCTCTCCTAATGGAACCATATTAGCATGTGGTTATTGTAATGGTTGTATCGGATTATGGGATGTTAAGACAGGATAAGAAAAGGTGAAATTGGATGGTCTTTGTTATTTTAGTAACTCAGTATGCTTCTCTCCTGATGGTACTACCTTAGCATCTGCTAGTGAAGGTTAGTCTATCCGTTTATGGGATGTTAAGACATGGTAATAAATACCCAAATTGAAAGGTCATAGTGGTTATGTTTATTCAGTATGCTTCTCTCCTGATGGTACTACCTTAGCATCTGGTAGTTAAGATAACTCTATCCGTTTATGGGATGTTAAGTCAGGCTAATAAAAGGCCAAATTGAAAGGTCATAGTGATTATCTTTATTCAGTATGCTTCTCTCCTGATGGTACTACCTTAGCATCTGGTAGTGAAGATAACTCTATCCGTTTATGGGATGTTAAGTCAGGCTAATAAAAGGCCAAATTGAAAGGTCATAGTG